GTCTGGAGCATCTCCAGGGATGGGGCACCCACAATCTCTCTGGGCAGCCTGTTCCAGCACCTCAGTGCTCTCAATGGAAAACTTCTACCTGATATCCAATCTAAAGTTTCCCTCTTTTAGTTTAAAGCCATTCCCCCTTGTCCTGTCACTATCTACTCTTGTGCAAAGTTGATTTCCCTCATGTTTATAAACTCCCTTTCAATACTGGAAGGCTGCATGGAGCTAGTTCGGAATTGGGGATTGTGTGCATCCACAAATGCTGCCACGTGCAAGCGGCCCTTGGGAGCTGGGGGACTTGCCAAGAATTAGTGACTTAATTACCTCAGCAGCTGCTATGTGAAGAGGAAATTATTTTTCAAATGACTTTCTTAGGACTGTGTTCTCAGACATTTACATGCAGCTGCACTCAGGGTGCGCAAGGTACGTGTAAATAATCCCAGTGCCACGCAGGGTGTCCTGACGTCCCAGTGAATACGGGCCATTGTTGCGTTTCGGAAGGGCATAAACAAGGAGGTAGTTGGGCAGGCTTGGTAAATATTCGCTCAGTAACAGTTTGGGAAGGCCTTGAATGTGGGTTCAGGCCTGGCCGTGCCGCCAGGCGGCGGGCCTGCAGCAGGCGGCGGGGAGTTTGCTGCTTCTGGAGCCGGGCTGTGTGCACAGCTGCAACTTCATGGCCCGACCAAGAGCAGCACCAGGTAGCAGCTGTTTCAAGTGAAAAGAATAAGATTTTCAGGTATCTGCCTGTGTAAAATACACCATCTCTTTTTTTTTTTTTTTTTTCCTTTATTCCTTCGGCGTCAGCTAGAAAAAAAAGCAAAAAGCAAGAAAGGCGTAAGCCTGCCTTTGAAAGTTCACAGAGCCCAATTCTGTGGCTCTTCTCCATGCTGAGCAACATTGTAACGTACCTACAGAATCGACCTGAATTGAACAGAATCCGTGCAATTTCCATTCAGTATTTCCAATTTTTTAATGTGCACAGCCACGTTGAGCACATCTGATCCTTGACAGAAATGCCTACACAAGGATTGTTCTTTTATGTATATGTAACTTTAATTCTCTTTATAAGCTAGACGTGTTCACGTAAAGAGAACTTAAAGCATGGGATCTGTTTTCATTTCTGAAGAACATTTGCATTCTGTCCTGGGGTGAGTTATTCTGTGGCATTTGCATTCAGCAGGAGATGCTTACAGTTGCTGCTGGATTTTTTTTCTGTTTGAAACTGGAGCCGGCCAGCGGAATTACCACTGAGTCACTGCAAGCAGAGATGGAAAAGCCCAATTAGATCATCCAGCCCTTCTCCTTCCTGGTGTAAGATTATTGTGTACCAAATACTTCAGTGCTTTTTCCAGTATAGTTTTAAATGTCCCCAGGGATGTGCCTTGTGTGTCTTCCTTCAGGCAAATATTCCGTAACCTTCTGCTCTTCACTATTAGAAATCTTTTCCTGAGATTGGACCTAAATTTTCCTTTAAGTACATTCCATTTGCTGAAGATTTATTACCTTGAACCATTCTAAGTAATTCCAGTCACTCTTTGATATTGACATCCCTAACAAGCTGTGTTCTTTGTCCCTTAATCAGAACAGCTCTCCATGCTTAGTCTGTCTGTGCAGCCTTCTGGCACCTCTACTTTAGCCTATGGGCTAGTAAGGATTTTTTTCTATACGCGTTGCACTTCTGCCTTATGTTAGTTTTCTTCAGGGTGTCTTCTTATGACTGTGACTTTTTCATAATTCATGAAAAACTGAAATTTCAGTTTTTCTCTGGAAGAAAATGATAAAAATGCTGTCATTGGGCAACTATGGCTATTATTTTCTGAGGATGTACAGATAGAAATAAAAGATGATCTTTAATTGCCAGGCCTGCCAGTTTAGCCAGAAACTGTCTCCTGCATCATACATTCAGATTTCAGGGTAAGTTACTGATGGCTCACGATACAAAAAGAGTGTAAAAGAAACTTTCCTACTCTGCTACGCCAAATCTGTGATAACTGTTTTACTTTGCGGAGAGCAAAAGCTAGCAGAGGAAAATAGTTAGCCAAGACCAAATTCTCAGTGGCTGTATGTTGAGCAGTTCTGTAGAGTTTGAAGGAAGCAAAAAAATCATTCTTTCAAGTGGAAATCTTCATCATAATCACCGTAGGGATAAATTTGCAGGAAAGGGGAGTAGAGATACAAGAGATGAGGGAGTTCTGAAGGCTGCTAAGTTCTTTCAAGATTTTTATCACTCCCATCAGCCTTTACCAGCTTTTAATTATCAGGTTTTTGGTGGAAAGGGTAAGAGGCCCCAAGCCTACAATTGCATTTCCCTTTCATGAAGGTTGAATTTAGCAATCAAATTGCATTTGTTGAAATAAGATACCTGTTAGTTTTCCAAATTCTGACAACACCGTTGACAATTGTTGCTAGACTGTCTGGAGAGACTTGCTGGTACATGTGTAAATCTTGATAGAAATTTACCTTTTGTTCCTTTGCTAAAAATAAGAAACTCCTTAGTTCGTATCAGATTTTACTGCTTTCATGAAAGGTAGTGGACTCAAATTGCAATACAAGAAATTCCATTTAGATGCTTTATTTAAGAAGGCTTTTTCGTTGTGAAGCTGAACGTTGAAACAGGCAGCTCAGGAAAGTTTTGGAATTTCCATCATAGAATCATTGAATGGCCTGGGATGGAAGGGACCCCAAGGATCATCAAGTTCCAACTCCTGCTACAGGCAGGGCCACCAACCTCCAGAATCTGTACTAGAGCAGGCTGCTCAGGGCCCATCTGAACTGAACACCTGCAGGGATGGAGCATCCACCGCCTCTCCAGGCAGCCTGTTCCAGCACCTCACTGCTCTGTGAAGAACTTCCCCCTGACATCCAATCTAAACCTTCCCTCCTTGAGCTTAATGAGGCAGTGCAAAACAAAGAGGCAGACAGTCCTGCTGTATATGTTTATGCCTAGACATCCTCTTCTGCTGCCTCATCATTTGCTGACTTTTCATGGACACAGTGCAAAAACTGCTGCCAAAGTGGCATTGTCCATGTGTGAGCTTTCCCCTTTATACCCTGTGCCCTTCATAAACTGCATCAGCCTTCATGGCAGTAGGAATTAGTCTCCTGTTCTGGGTACAGCACTTTTTTCTCCTGTTCTCTCTGGATTATGCTTCCTTGTGTACACCTTTACATACCTCAGGTGCTTAGGTTTGTATTTTACTTCTCGTTGCTGTGGAATGTACGTGTGCCTATCCTTGTGCTCTGCTGTGCTGTGCATTTCTCTTTGCTCTGTTCTTTTTCCCTCTCCCTGTTGCTTTATCTCAGAATTGTACTTTTGCAGCCTAAGCTGGACTTCAGCTCTTTCAAAGCCCACTTGATTGTTCTTCATGCCTTTTTCAGTCAACTGTTTTCCTACAATTCCCCCACCCCCTTCCAGTCTGTTAGTGCTTTTCTTTTGTACTTTGTTAAATGAGACCTGAGGGTCTTTGACCTAAGTTGTATGGTACCTGTAGCTAAGTTATGTTCTCCCTTCTCTCTGTCTCAGCTGTTGGGGTTTGACCTGTGCTTCTCCTGGCATGGAACAAACAAGCATCTCCACAGTTGACCGTTCTGCCCTCAGCAAGGCATGTCAGTAGCTTTCACACTTCTTAGCCAAAAAGTGAGTTTAAGTAAGACCTCGGATCAGTTTATCTCTCGTAGATTTTTAACTTTTGCCTCATATCCTGGGTGCATATTTGACACTAATTTCCTGGTTTGACAGAATTCCCTCTGGAGAAAGCCATCCTTGCTTTTACTACTGCAGAGTCTGTATGGGGGGAATGTTTCATGAGGTTTCTGGAAGACACAAGGCTGTCTTTATTATCAGCTTGTTGTCATTCCCAAACTTCTTAATCCTTTTGCTTCACTTTTCAAACACTGAAGCTTAGGTGCAGTGACACGGGTCCCCCAGAAATGTACCATGCACGTGTGATATGAGAAGAGTTCTGTCTCCCTGGCTGAAAAATGACTGATTTCCACTGCTTAAAGGCCACACCAGTTTCTGACCCCGCACATCTTAACGGGGTCTTGGACTGTATCACAGCACTCAACAAAACAGCCATTATTACTTACAGTGGAGTTTGCACTGCTGGAGACTGAGCAGCACTATTGGCTGTCCTTTAGAGCATCTCTGTTCCGCTCCGGGCAGCCACCTGCTCTTCTACCGTGTTTTAAACCAGTGTGGAGAATTGAGGTGCATATATTATATTTGGTAAATGAGTCCTTTCAGTCCGTGCTTTTTGCTTAGGGCCCTGACGTACAGTTCCAAGGTTCTGGCTGCCACTTTGAAATCATGTGAGCTGGAATATGTGTAATAGAGATAAGTATTTGAAGGAGGAAAGTTGATTTACCAGTAACTGAACTCTTTGAGAACATTTTTCCCTTGTACACTCTCCAACAGCAAAGACAGTTTAATGTTTACCACTCCTTTTTCTTTCCATCTGCTCATCTCTTCTCATTCATTCCCTCTTTGCCACAATTTACAACCCTTTGCTTCCCTCTTTGGCCAGTGTTAATTGGATCAGCTGGAATGACATTAGTGAAAGGAATCAAGATAAACACACTTTTTTAACCTAAAAAACAGAGCAGGCAAGACAAACAGAGGAGGGCAATTTCCTAAGCCTGTCTTAGTGCCAAAGCTAATGTGCTAAGCTATGGTTTGAGAAGCTGGGACGATGCAGAGCTCTTAACACCACCCTGTTGTTGCAGTAATAAGCAAAGAAATAGCAATGCGTGTGTTGTGTACGTAATGTTGGAAAAGTACAAAAGTACAGCATGAAAGCTGGAGTGTTTGAGACATGCTTACACCCACGGTGAAAGCGCAAACAGGTAACCTGATAGGATTCCCATACAGCTACATAACTTTACCGTGGCACAAAAAAAACCATCGTGTTTTTGGCATGATGATTTCATGTACTGTTCTGGCTTTGCTACTCTACCCTGGAGGAAAAGAAAAATATTCTTACCTAGTTTTTATGTTTCCACAGTATGAAATCCATTCTGAGAATGTACTGTGCTCCTATATCACTTGGGCATCACTTACGCTGCTTTTCATGTACTGCTGTTAAACACAGTGCCTGGATGTGACTGATCCAACGTGCTACCCAAAAGCCCTGATCATATTGAAGAAGAGAAGGCTCCGGGGAGACGTCGTGGCCTTGTAAGGGAGGCATATAAACAGGTGGGGAATGGCTGCTTATGAGGGTGCATAGTGATAGGACCAGGGGGAATGGTTTTAAACTGAGACAGGGGAGGTTTAGGTTGGGTGTTAGGAGGAAGTTTTTCACACAGAGGGTGGTGACGCTGGAACAGGTCGCCCAAGGAGGTTGTGGATGCCCCATCCCTGGAGTCTGTGAAGGCCAGGCTGGATGTGGCTCTGGGCAGCCTGGTCTGGTGGCTGGTGACCCTGCACACAGCAGGGGGTTGAAACTGTATGATCATCGTGTTCTTTTCAACCCAGGCCATTCTTTGGTTCTATGATTCTGTATATGCTATGGCTTTAGGGAGCCCTCTGTATTCCGCTTTTGTAGAATTTACTGGTTGTGAATAGTGACACTTATGAGGGCCTCCTCAAAGTTCAGCTCTGCATCCTGTAGGAGGGAATGGTGGGTGATTTCATGTGGTGCACAGTTCTTTCACTTAGCTCTCACTACCTGCCTAGCAAGTCTGAGGCTGCAGTTTTGGTTATCATAGAGAGGAAGGCTATCATTGTGCAATCCCAACATGGTGTAAGCATTAGAATGCAGGACTTGTTTGTCCCCAACTCTTTCATAGATTTTTCTGTTGTTTTGAGCAAAGTGTTCAATGCATCTGATATTGCTTTCTCTAGTTATAAATTAGGTTCTAGTCTAATTTGGTATTAAGAGTATTCATCTATGTGCTGTGATCTTGGTGCTGTGCAAGTGCAGAGCATTCATCTGGTGATTGCACCGTTGTATATATCCGATGTCCAAGAGCCCTGAAGGCCTGTAGGCTTACTGGGTACTTTGAGGGCTGGCAGCAAGGATTTCAGTCTTTAAAAAGATAACTGCACTGCAGATGAAACTCCCAAGAGCTAACAAGCAGCACAGGAAGAGCCTAAAAAAGTGGGGTTGTTGGCTGTACGGGTCACACAGCCTCACGGTGTGGCTCACAGCCCTGTCCCTGGGGAAGAAGCAGCAGTGCTGGCGGCCTCCAGCAGGTCACGCCGAGGGAGAGGCAGGGGCCACAAGGAGGCTTTCTTCCCTCAAACACATGGATTTAGTGGAGGAGAGAAGAGGGAGGGAGGCTGAAGCGCGCTATCTTTTTAGCATCTGCGGCTGCAGGGAAGGGGGGATCGCTGCTCCCTCTGCGCTTTTCCTGCACGAGTGTGGGAGCCTCCTTGGCGGTGTCCGCACAGCTGGTTGTAATTACGCACTGCAGCTTCAGAGGAAGTTGCTGGCTGTGGGGAGCGTGCAGTGCTTGGCTGCAGACCCACTGCTTTTATGGATACGATGGAGGTGGAGAGAGTAAAAGCAGTGGCACAGAGCAAAGGGGAGGGCGAGAGCCTAATAATCTTCTACTCGAGCCGGCTGCCTTGTTGGATCGTTACCTACTTGTGGAAGTCCCTTGGTAGATGTATAACACAAAACTCTTTAAAACTAGCTGGAAAACTTTTTATTTATTATTTCTTTTACTACTCTACAAAAAAAGAAAAAAAAAAAGTTTGGAGTGATTTACTTCTCTTGGAAAAAAAAAAAGTTACGTTGAACTGACATATTGCAATGACTATTTTTGGCGTTGCCATTTAAAATTATAGCATTATAAATAAAGCTGCTCAAAATGCAGCTATTCTGATTCTTGCTGGGGTTCACGCAAGCGTTTTCGTTGGTTTCTATCACTGGATTTAGCCCTCCATTCAATACTGATTCTGCTTTGAAGGCAAAGGATTCCTTGTTTTTAACTGCGAGTGAAGAAGTGTTTGCTGACGCCAGACCCTAAGGTATGTATTGTTCTAACATCTCGTTGTCTCAGGATGCAACTGTTTCAGGCTCACCAAAAGAAATGCAAAAATTTGTGTGAAGCTGGCTCTAGTCCTGGCTTTGCAACAAAACCCCAAGTGAGGCAAGTTTTGTCTGGCGTTGGGCTTTGTAACAAAAGCTTTGGTTATAAATCTCAGGAAAAGAACATTTGTAATGGAAGTGGCCAGTGAATCCTAAATAGCAACAGAACATGTTGCTATGAAATGTGTGTACCTAGAGGGGAAAAAACAGATCCCACTCCTGATAGAAAAGCAGCGGCTTACTCAGAGCTATTCTCAGATGTCAGAGTCAGTCATCAGCTCCCTGGCCTGTGGTTGCATCCTTCTAAACTTTGCCCCTGCAGGCAGCCATGATTTATGTCTTTAGCAGATGAAGCAGCCAGATGAATAAAAGAGGAAAAAATGTAAAGGTGGGCAAGACAATCTGCTGTGCCAGATCATATTTGAGGCTGCATCTGAACTCAGACCAGTCATCTTTTTTTTCCTGTTTCCCAGATGTAGACATTTCTTGGGGCCACCTGTCTGAAAGCTCTTACTTCATCAAGTGTCTGATTATTTCAGGTGCTGCGTCATCACATCAGCAGTTCTCAATTTCTGCGACGAATTCCTGCTGTTCTTCATACCTCATACTTTGGGAGAGTGTTGTATGTGGTGAGGCAGCTATATGGAGGTAACGAGGCAGGGCAGAGCTGCAGCACTGAGTGGCTCCCAGGGATGTATCCATACGTTCTTTGCTGCTGTTTTGTGCAGTAAGCGGTGTGGATTTTTCTGTACCGGTTTTCTGTGTTTGTGTTGTTTGGCTGTTGCAGAAAGATCAGATAATTCAACAAGGCAGTAGAAAATGCCAGTGGAAAAGAATCTACAAAGATTTACTTGTACATATTTCTCCCAACACATCGCGGTGTAAGATGCTTAGTAGAGACAAGATAGAAGAGGGGATTGGGTGCTTTGGTGGTCCCGATAATACCGAGACGAGCTGTAACTTGTGAAGAGCATCCACAGCTTGCCGTGGAGATATTTTTATGCATTCATCTGATCAAAAGAGTATGGGGTATCTTCTTTTTTTCCATATCTTATTATCAATTTTCATGGATGGTTTCCCTAAGCCCAATTATGAGGTTGAAGAAAACGGCATTCAGATTCTTTAAGGTTTCTTGCTAGTTTTTGAAGAGCTTAACATTTTAACATAAGTAATGATTACCATAAAACGGCTGTTTTTTTCTGCAGCCTGAAGTTCTGGTAGCTTGACTAAAAACAAGGACTGCTGTGTAGTTATTACCTTGAGCTGGTGACTGTTCAGCTACAAAGCTAAGGAGTTGCTTGTGAGGAATTACCTGTACCTATGAAAAAAGGCTCTGCTACTCCAGTTTCATCCTACAGACCCTCATGGTTGCCTTAAACTGTTCTTCTTCAACAGCTGTAAGAAGTTATGATGCTGAAGGTATTGTGAACATTTCTTTAAAGATTTGCACAACAATCCATCTCTTAAGGGTCCTGTATTGTATGAGCATCTTTAAGTATTCTACCATCAAGCAAACACATAAAACTATGTATCACGGTATTTCTAGCTGACAGTTGTTGCATGTCTTCCTGCTTTTAATACATTTAGGGACCCTTACTGAGGCAAGTGGGGAGTTAGGAGTTGAGCTGAGTTGAAGGGGCCTGCGATCAGGCAGTAGATTGAGCCCCAGCAGTCTCTAGATACTGTGATGTCTTTTCCCCCCTTTCTTTCACTCATAAATATTTAGGAATGAGTACACTCTGATGCACAATATCTAGGAAGATGTACTGCTGATGGACTAAAGTCTATTTGTTTACTGGATTGAAACATATATCTTATAACTGCGTATAAACACAAAATAACTTTGGAGCTTTCAGCACAACTACTCCAGAGGAGTAATTCTCCAAAGCCTGTCGCATCCCTGGACACTTCTCAAGGTTGTCCTAGATCTTGTCTCCTAACCAGTCCAAGAACATGCTGCCGTTCCATCTGACCACGCATTAGGTTTCTGTGGACAGAAGCCCATGGAAGTAAGAGGCTGACCTCAGCATGGAGTAAAGATGCAGTCAAGACCCAGGAGCCCAAAAGTACTCAAACATCTCCTAGTTTATGTACAGGCCTGGTCCACCGTGCAGATGGCAGGCAAAGAAAAATCTGTAGGTCATAAATCTGCACTTACCTGAATAAATAACCTGATTGCTGGAGATTTTACAACAAGCAAACAAAATCCCAACAACTGTATCTTTACATTAGAGAAGTAAGCACTATTTCATGGGATGTGCATAAGTAAGCAAGGTGCCTTTGAGTACTTGGCTTGGGCATACAGTGTTACTGACTGTTTGACCCAGAGATGTCACCTGTTTGGTGTGATTTGTCACCAAGAAATTGCTTCTAATAACATTTCCCAAACAGTAACAATGCCCATAGTACATATTTCTTAGCTGATATGTTGAAAGAAATTAACACAAAATTTCCATTCTTGAGTTGTTGAAGTCACTGAGTTATTAAAGCACAGAGAAATACCTGAAACTGAAACTAGAGAAGTGAGATTTTTCCATACTTAAAAAAAAGAAACCAAAAAAACTTTTCACGAACAGAACCTTTCATACCAAAACACACTGCTACAGCTTTTAAAACTGTAAAAGGAAAAAAAAAAAAAGGGGGGGAAAGAAAGGGGATTTTACTGTAACTGGAAGCAGTGGCAGATTTTTAAGTGTAAGGACCAAGCATGGATGCTGACAGCAGTTTATGATGTCTGAGGATGAGTTTTTGTTTAGGCATAAATAGGTGAAGATGCAGGAGAAATCCTCTTAATGGGAGGAGAAGTAATGCTGGAGAAATGGTCTGAATTCATTTCATGCAATACTTTTGTAATAACAGTGTCTATTAAAGACACCTGCTGAAAGTCTGTAATGCTGGCTTATTAGGGAGAAAAAATAACAAAGTTCTTGAGCAATCCTGTCTTCGGTTCAATATTATGGACTGTTAAAAGAGGGTTTATGTGTGCAACGTTATTAACTGAGATTCTGCTCAAATTGAAGTCAGGACCGTAAACCTTGCTTTCTAAAAGACCTTGCTAGGTTTCTAAAAGAAGATTTTAAAACTAAACAAGAGAATTAGAATATTCTTGCTTTATTTAGGATATTTTAAAGACAATACATCTTGGTAGATTTCTATTTCCAAACAGTTGTACTCTCTCTTGTCACGTGTGGCTTCTTTCTAGAGATGTTGAAGTGCAACAAAAATGGACCAATTTCCTGTACTTAGTCATTACTATTACTGGAGAGGAAAAGAAAATCTACCTCCAAAGTGACCAAAGTACAACTTGTAATAATAAAGCACCCAATATTTTGTACTGGCTTTGTCAGGGCTAGAAGACATGGGCTCAGTTATGAGAGAGATTGGGGCAATGGGGACACTGTCCTGGAAAAGAAATTGAAGTCTGAGTTTATAGTGAGCACATTGTTGTCTAACTGTGTTTAATACTGTAATTTGTTTAAACTTAAATTGTAACGATGAAAATAAAATACTAAAACACTGTGTTTTTATCCCTTGAGTTTGGAGAGGCCTCATCTTTTCCGTGCCTGTAGCCCTGATGATTCTTTTGGCAGCTCTGCTGGCGATAAGGGGAATAACTCACCTCTGTCAGAGAAGCTGGCTGTTTCATCACTGACATGAGAGCCCAGCGTAACTCCACAGTGATGGCTGTCTAAATGACTTATGTAATTTCTTCATCTACTTTTTGATTGAAGAGTGATAACTCGGGCGATGAGTTATTTGGCATCAGCCTCAGAGACAATCTGTTTTCCTTAAATAAATCCTGAGGCACCTTTCAGCCACCCAGTTTTAAAGTAAGCCTGTAGTGATTCGGGTCTGATGTGCCTGGCAGATTTAGCTGAAGGATGAAGTTAGGATTTGCTGTCCTTATTTCGCTTTGTTTATTGTTTGGTCATTAAATGAGAGTTGTAGATGTAGTACTGAGGAAAATGAGCAGTGGGCTGAAAGGCAGTTTTTATGTTACAGCCCAGGGGTATGGCAGGGCATTTTGTCTCTGGTAGCAGAGGCATTATTTTGCTCAAAAGCACACACGGTTGTCCAAGAACCAGAGAGGAAAATGCACACCAACACCAGCCTGGATCCATAGCCTGGGATGTGGGGGACGTATCTAAGCGAAGGGAAAAGAATAATTAATTTTTCTTCTACAACTGAATGCATATCCTAGTGCAGAGTATCTGTGTCTGAGATGAGAATGTAGAGTGCCATTACACAAGGCAGGGACTTGCTGCATGTTACATTTAGTAGGCAACGGGTTGATATATGCTGCGAGCCTGGCAGGATTTCAGGCAAGGTTTTGCCACTGATTTGTTGGGAACAGAAATGGTTTTCTTGCTGAAATCACAAAGATGGGAGCCTTGGGTAGAGTTTTATTTGCAGGGTTCCTAACGTAGCTGTGGAGTGCTAAATATAACCTGAAGAGCTGCAGATGTGGCGGGTGTTTCAGGCTTCATCTTGGTTAATATCTGCTGTGCACGTGCTTTTTTAACAGCAAGACAATTCAATCTTACAAAAAGGGTTGAAGTTAATGTTTATGTTAAACTAATCAACTTCCCATGTTTCTCTTTTTCTACTCTTAAGCTCTTTAGTTTAGAAAGAGCAGTTGGTGACAGGTATAAGCAAGTTTTACAGTGCTTATGTTACATGCACAGGGCTCCAGTTAGGATCTACATCCCTTTGCAGCAGGTGTTATGCACAAGTACATGGGCATGTTTTCTTCTTGAAAGTGTGCACAATACAAGAAGCATCTTCATCAGGCTTGTGTCTTCGTTTGGGCCACAAAAGCAAACATACTCTTTTTAGTTCTGTTCACACTTTGAAGTGATGGTGCATCATTGTATGGTTACCTTCAAATAGCTCTAACTATGCAAAGCTTAGTATTTGCCAAAGGAAAAAAGGAATTAAATGATAATAGATTTCATATTGGAGGCTCAGCCTTGGATCTGAGAGCAGTCACCCAAAACAAGGGCAAAGAGAATTTGGACAAAGTGTTGTCATTCTTTCTTTTCTCTCACTTTATACTTATTCTTTTCTGTTTTTTCCATTACGTGTGCATGAATAGATTTTTATTGATATTTTCCTTACAGTCTAGGAGGCATTCCTTCATGGAAAAGAGGGAAGCATGACCTTCCTTACTGTCCAGAAACAGGCTGTTAGCTTTTTGATTCTGTGCAGCACAGCAGAATTTGTGGCAACAGGTGAAGCAGGACTGCAGCTTCACCCTTCCCCACATGCAGGGCATGATTGAGATGGAAAGCAGCCTGCTGTACCCACATGAGCAGCACTGGGAGCACCTCCTGTGGGTGGGGAGACACCACGCATTCTGAGAAGTAGAGTTCTAGAAGTAGAGGTCCATAAGTGTGCAGCCGTCTCATTCATAGTACAGTGTCACTGAGTGCTCATTTGCATGGTGCTTGAGCAGATTCTGCCTTCTGATCCACTTTGGATTCTGCCCACGTGGGATTTGCACAAAGGTTCGAACTTTCAGATCTGAATTTGCTTTCTGTGATTCTGACAGTGAAGTTTATCGATGTTCAATAATTCGACCTGACAAAAACTCACTTTAATTTTTTAATTCGTATTTATTCTTTCTCCGCAGCAAAATCTGCCAGTCAGGGCAAATTACACGAGTGATTCTGTGGAGGCTGAAGCGGGATCGCTGAACTCATTGTCACGCGTGGCTAAACAGAGAACTGAGCCTTGTGAAAGGTTAGTGATTTTAGCTAATTTTTAAGCTCTTGCACAGGAGCTGATACAGCTGCTGTCAGTCTACTGTAATCCTGTTCTCCGCTGGATCTGCCCTTGCAGAGGCACTGCTTTCTCTCAGTGATTAAGGGGAGACATTGCTTTCAGAGGTGCTGATTCAGCAGAGCAAAGAGTCAGTAAATTAGCAATGACTGTAAGGGAATTTTAAATATTGGTTAAGTATGAAACTTCTATTGTTACAGCGTCTTGGAGATGAAATTCTAATTAAGTTACCCTACCAGGCAGTGTGGGAGAGATGACAGTCACAATACAGAATAATGGGGAAACTGTATAGCTAGGTTTTGGGTTCTCAGTGTCATTGCTATAAAATGATGCTGAAGGGCCACGAAAGAATAACCCAGTATAGCTGTATACATTCTCCTGGACTGTTTGTTTAGTCACAAAGTGATACAGACTCTTGACATGTAAATTAAAATTTAAAAAAAAACTGGAATGAAAGAATACTACCTTCCTACATGCTATCATTGGCATGTCTTGAAAATACAAATTGCTTGGCTAGTGAGACAAGTAACTCTACCCTTACACACTGATCTGTCAGTGTGCTGAGCTAGAAGCAATATGCCAGTTACTGTGAAAAAATGGTGGAGACTCAAGGACAGTGTAGATCAGTATGCACAGTGACCACACTAACAGGTTATCTTCCTGTGAACGAGTCACACAAAAGTAAAACACTTCTTTTTTCTAAGTTTTGTATGGGTAACAAATTGATAGAAGAAATGTGAGTCAGCAAGTATAGATAGGTGAAGTGGGAAGGGAATGGCTGTACGTCTCATAGAACAAAGAAGAGGGCAAAAAACAAAAATCTGTGCATGTGATTTTTTTCCATGTTATGCCATGGAAAAGTTAAAAATGCTTTTACCATTTTCTATTTAGAGGTGTTTTTACTAGACTGTGTATTTATGCAAAGAGAGTGCTTTGGTATTCTTGGTCAGAAGTGCTAGATTTCTGTCGGCTATTTCCCCATAATTCATGGCAATACCAGGTTTTTTGTCTGCATTGCCTTACTTGATCAGAGTATCTTGCTGAGATAAGAAATGTAAACCAGGCTGAAGCAACTTAAAGTATCTATTGCATGAAAATTGTGCTGCTATATTGCTACAACACAAGTATTTGTTAAGTATAGACAAAATATGGACAGAAAATGGGGATGTAAACACCCCACTTGAGCACATCTACTATCATAAAATCAACTGTAATTATAATAGCAGGATTTTAGGCAATACTTTCAATAGTCTGCAAAGTTACTAGATCACCTGGAAGGTGAAAATGACTGTTGAGGTAGCAGAGTGAAATGAGGAATCATAGGCACTATCTTTTCTTTGTTACTTCATTGTTCCACGGCCCATATTTTCTCAACAATAATAATGCTTAGAAGGGTTTGAGAGCTGCAAGCAATGAACACTAGTTATCTTCAGTGTATGTTTCTGGCAAACTCTGAAACGAGATCAAGGAAGAACCAGAAGGTTTTTTGCAGATGCTTTTTATTTCACCAGCTACACTTGTCATATATTTCAATTTGCACTGTTACATGTAATGAATACATACATATACACATGTAGGTATGTATATATATATGCTGAACTTTAAGGCTTCTCTTCAAGAATGGCTGCAACAGTCTTGGGTTCAATATTGTTGGAGAGCTGTAGAGGCCAAAATATCCACCACTGTTGTATTCATTTCAATATGACAAAACTTACCAAGAAGAAACAAGCAGTGACATCCAAGACATCTGTAGAGTGGTCATGAAGACTGCAGAATAGCAAGCAGGAAGCACAGTGCTTGTGTGCATCATTTATTGGACATTCCAGAGAGTAAACTGAAGAGATCATGGCTGATCAGCAATGAGAGGCTTTCAGAAAGAAGAGTCATTCTAAAATACGAAAACATACCTAAATGTTGAAAAGTTAAAGGATCATAAACACTGACAGGTGTAGTACTAAAGATACAATTAGGCAGAGCAGTTCAATATCCTTCTTCCCACACATCAGGAAGGAAAAACATTGTGAGTCTGCATATAAAAAGGGTATAAAATGAACCCTCAGGGAGGATAAAGTCACTGGAAAGAACCTGAACTCTTTGTATCCTTGTTCTCTGTGGAATAAATTGGGGAAATTCTCCCACCAGGGCCCTTTTCAGGCATTCAGGGAGCTCCACAAAGTATTACTCGTAAATTGTATCTGAAAAAAGTAATAATACAAAAGAGATGACTCTCTAGGATTTGAAGAATTTATCGAGAGTTCTAGGAGAACTCAGGGATGAAATATCCAATGGCAACACGTAACCTGTCACTTCGTTGTTCCTCTCTATGTGAAAATCAGAAGGTGTCAAATGGGATGTCAATCATGAAGAAAGGCTCCAGGGGCATCCAGCAAAATAAAATTAGACATCTGTTCTGGGTGAACAACTAGATAATGTAATTAGCAATTGAATTAATATCTACCTGAATAAATATGATCTAATTAATGAGAGTTAGCAAAGAACTTGGACTTGTTTGAAGAAGTCACTGACATGTAGATGAAAACCATCTAACTGATGCAGTCAACTTGGATTTCCAGAAGACTTGACAGAACTTATCAAAGTGTTTCAGAAAACCAAGCAACATAAGACTGTTGCTGGCATAAGAAGGAAGGCCTTGAAAGATGATTTGAAAGATTTGAACTCAACATAGACCATCACTGGGTCTAAGTGCACATTCATTTTTTAACAGGAAGATCAATAGTGAAATTCCGTATGGTGTTTTTGTTGGGACCTGTACCATCATAGTCTTAAATCACAGGCTTGTAAAATAGTTTAGGTTAGAAGGGACCTTAAACACCATCTAGTTCCATCCCCCATGCCATGGTCAGCAATAACTCTCACTAGACCAAATGTTCCAAGGCCTCATCCAGCCTGGCCTTGGCCACTTGCACAGATGGGGCATCCACAGCTTCTGTGGGCAACCTGTTTCAGTGCTTCACCATCCTGTGAAGAATTTCTTCTTTATATCTAACCTAAACCTACTCTGTGACTTACAACCTTCCGGTTTAAAGCCGTTACCCCTTGTCTTATCAATGACCTGGAGGAGGGAAGTTATTGGTGAGGTGGTAAAGCTTTGCTGATGATAGGAGGTAATGCAGGATTGTAAGGGCGGACTGCAAGACGTTGTAAGACTGACTGTACAATAAAATGATGGGTGCACCTCAGTGTAGATAAAGGTAGGTAGAGTAGTACATCCAGGGAAGATGAATCCTATCTTCACTTCTTGGGTCATTTATAAGTTGGCCTAAAGGTCTTCAGGAGCAATATCTTTTGGTTACAGTAGACAGTGTCATGAAAATACTAGCTTAGTAGAGAAAGAAGAAAAAAAGTTCTAGGTTAGGATTTATTACTAAGCAAAGAGAGAACAAAATGGAAAGGATCATTGTGTTGCTGTTGAAGTCCATTTGTCACTGTAAAAATCCAAGGTTTGCATGCTTTTGAATACTGCATGCAGTTCTATCTTGAAAAGGCATGCTAGAACTAATAAATATTCTTGAGGTGATGATTAGTCACATACTGTGACTTCCATACAACATACAAGGAGCTCCACACGTGGAATAGTCAAAACTCTGGAAAGATATGATTGGGGAAATGTAAGAAGGTATCTGCAGAACTGAGAGATCTATAGAACAGAGGAGTGGCTGTTCACCTTCTCTCCTGCTACAAGAATGATGTATACCAAAAGAAGTTGGTAAGAGTTTTATTCAGAATAAATCCTTGGAAGAGATGCTGTAGAGTGTACTAACTAGATAATCACATAACCTAACCTGGAAATGGTTGGAGGCTGGGAGGCCGTGAGTGCGTTTACCCTGTTCTTGCTTTTCCTCTCAGAGCTCTGTGATAGATGGACCCATGGCCTGATCCAACACTGAAGTTTGTACGTAACTTTCTTACACCAAAGTCAGGGTTAAATAAATGAAGTTATTAACTGCTACAACACATTTGTAACTTTCAAGCTGCCCAAGTAATCATAATGTTACAGCAAGTTAGGGCTGGAAGAGGCCTTAAGAGTCAACTAATCCATCCCCTGTTCCATGGTTAGCAAAATCAATTACGTTCATGTCTTTACAGACAAATTTGTCTATCCTGTTCCCACAGCTTTCAGTGATGGAGACTCAACAGCTTCCATAAGCAATCTATTTAAAGTCTCACTATTCATACAATGAGAAAGATTTTTTTTCCTGTCTAACTGGAATCTAATCAGCTGTTGTTTGCTGTAAACCATTAGTTAACTGCAAGTCTGAGCTAAGATGAGAGGCGTCCTAGACTTCTGATGAATGTTGTCTAGTGACTTTAGTGACTCTGGAAATAGCCTGGAAGCGGGGCTGGTTTTCAGTAGAGCTATCAGTTCGTTGTACTTTGCTTAATATGTCCAAGCACAATTAGGATCCTTTTAGGGATTTTCAGGTTATTTTAATGTCTTATCTCTTTAGCATTTTTTTGGCCTCAGGGAATCAGAAAGCGTGCTTTCTAAACACAACGTGCTTTGACTTTACTTTAGGGAGGGCGAGTTGAAAGGGGTGTCTTCAGAAAGAGCAGGACAAAAAGTGTTTGGTTGTTTGTTTTTTCAAGATGACTAAAAACCGGCATGTAGTATTTTATTGTTTTTTCTTCTTGTTTGTTTTTTGCTGTGGCATCTAAATGCTGGTTTTGCCAATAAATTTACTGAATTATGTGTGTTTGAGATTAAATGTCTGAACCATCTTATGTGATTTTATTCATTTCACTTAAGCTCTTCTTCTTGCCGGTGATCACTAATTCTGTTCCTCGTTTTCTATGTACCAGACTTGAAAAGGGGCTTTTGATTAACAGAAATGCTAGGCACCTGCAAATCCTGCTGAATTGATGTGGGCTGATTTCATGATACGTGGTGTACCTTAAGTTGTCTAAAATACAACTTGAAAAAAAATCAGCTCAAATTAGGCATTTTAGCAAAAGATTTAAGCTTGGTTTCTTTGTTTCAGTTTCCAGTTTCTAACATGAATGAGAGCACTATCCTCTGACTTGCCATAAACTGTGAAAAATAGTTTATTGGTACGTGAAGCACTCAGGAGTCATAGTGGTGGTCATTCCACGGAAACGAATGTCTAGGAACAGGGGTTTGAATTAGTAAATAGACGTGAGGTCATATGCAGAACAAGAAGGAAAAAATGTATTAAATAGCTGTTCACTGGTGAGCACTGACAATTCTGTGTACAGAATGAAGCAAACATCCTGTGGAAAAATAGTTTGTGAGGGTGTATTTGAAGACTTCATCATGCAATGGATTATACAAGGAAGCCAAATAAAGATTGCACAAGTGCTTTGATTTTGGTGGTTTTAAATTCGTTGACTGCAAAGCTTTAACCTCACTGACATGCTTTTAATCCAAGTCTTCATGTATGCTAAATACACGTGTGTTGGTAGATTGTCAACTTGGCAGTCTCAGAAAGACGGTGGCAATAGTAGTGGGCACTTTGGGATGAGGGGGAATACAGAGCGTGTCTCTTGCTTGAAGGCTGAACTTACATCAGTCTTACCAAAAAAAACCCCAAAAAACAACACTGTGAAAAATGACCTTTTGTTTTGTTTCTTTGAAAACTAAGACTGAGTGAAAACCTTTATGTTTTAACATGATATTTGATTGGTTACGCCAAGGATTGTGGAACCATCATCAGTCTCCCACATGGAAAAGGATGAACAGTAGTGCTCCTTAGGTTCAGTCTCTCTTTCTGTCTCAGAAGATTCCAAGTGATCGTGTTCACTCTGAAACTCTTATAAATGGCTGACAGTTAACAGCAAATGCCTGGAAGAAAAAAAAAAAAGTCCCTCAGCTGCTTCCTCATCAATAAAGCTGGGATTTGGTTTTACAGATGAAAGATTTTCTGTTTGTTGCCTTGCTAATTCAAGCTGAATGGAAATGGGCAGCCTTTACTGAGGAGTGGGCTACTCAGTGTAAGAATGACTACGTAAGTTTGAGTTCCTTCATGTATATTTCTGGTGTAAGCCATGAGGAAACCCCCCAGCATCTCTTTAGGAATTTTCCTTGTGTCATTTTCTCTCTCTCTCTCTCTCTCCCACTCCCCCTGATTTCCGCCTTTCCATCCCAGTTACTGACCTGGGATCCTTTCTCCCCTTTGCCCTCTCAACTCGCTGTTTCCATGGGCACCTACAGCTGCTACCTCTGGAACCAGATGCTCATAATAAAGGAAAGGTACACTGTGGCCTACCTGGATTACTTACCTTAGTTTTGCTTCCTAACCTAGGATGGTGTTTCAGTAACATTCCTCTAACAATGCCACTTCAATTCTGCCACTTCAACAACTGTTTCAATTTCTGCATGGATTGCACGTAGGGTAGCTGCCTAGGTGCTCTGGGAAGAAACGGGTGCAGAAAGGATGAATTATCCCTTAAAACTTGGTGTACATCTGTTTAGCTTTGTTGCTAATGACAAATTAAAGTCTTTGTGCTACCCAAAGAAAGAACAGAACCCAGCACTTGTATTTCTGTTCACATGTTTGAAGCACAGACCTACAGTTTATATTCTTTCATATGAATGTTACCCTCAGTATAAATAGAAAGTAGGTTTTGAACTTGGACTAGAACGTTAAGAGAAAATTTCTCTCCTGCATTTTGTGTGAAGCCGTCTGTTGAGCCTACAGTACCATGCCAGTGTTAAGCTCTGCCTTCTCAAAGCTCTGGGAAGGCCTGTTAGCATTAACTTTGTGTGTTCAGAGATGTTTACAGTCTGGAACCTCGTTCAGATTTGCCTACTTCTAAAGCACATGCAGAAGCTTTGCTGTGATGGGCATTTTTTCCTTGGTTGGTGGGGCCACGTAAAATGCTCTGGTTTTACATTCTTGTGACTTATCTATAATCATAAGAGGACAGTGTGAGCCTTCTTTTTGCATCCTTTCCCCATGGTTTTTGTGTCTGGATTTAGTGGAGTGCCTAGGCATGTGTATCTGGCATGTGTATCTCAGTCCATGTGACAGTCCCGCTCTAATACCTCACTGAAGTGGAGCATTCAGTGTTGTTCACAACTGGAAAGACTTGGTACAAATTCTGACTTGGATTCTGCATGTTCTGCCACCCGAATTGCATAGAACTACTGGCAGGCATGTAGTTCTGAGTTTACGGTTTTTGTATTTCCACAGCCATCACTTCCTGCAGTCTGCCTTAGAGCCCCGACTTCTGCAATTTTAACTAGCTTTCCGATTTTCTTTGTTTCTTCCCCTTCCCCCCTCATTGTTTTGCTCTCCTGTTCCTTTTCAACCTCGATGACTTTTCTTTAACTATTTAGAGCAACTTCTTTTGCTCCAGCCTCAGTTCATTGCTGGAAGGATTCCTGCAGCTCCAGCTCTCTGACAGCCGCAATTCGTGGCCACTCCAGCTGTCCTGAGAATGTTAGCCATGCTGCCACGCTGCACTTGGATTTCACTGATGCATTTGTGGAGGTCTTGGGGTTTTGTTTTTAATCAACCCTCAATGATATGGCTTTTCTTTTAACTGCTCTGGAGATGACATTATTATTCTCTTTGGCCTACAGTTGTATTAGGCAACGTGCACTTAAATAGCTTACAGTAGTAAGTGAAGTACATCTGATGTGCTCACTGTATCCTGGAGAAACTTCACCAGAAAATTTTGAAGTGCTTTTTGTGATGTAAGAAAGCTTCATCCATTCCCAAAAGGTGTCTGTTGTCTGGCTTCCAAAGTTACTGTACTCAGTGGGCACCTGAGCTGTTGATGCTAGGCTGGCCTTGCAGCAGATGCCAGTGTCACCATGGCACCCATTGACTTACACAGGAACCGCTTAATTATGGGAAGAGCTCTCAGCAAGGTTTCTACCAGGCAGCGGCTTTGAAAGTCACTCTGCTGCCCGTGGTGGTTTGAAACTTGCTGCCCCAAAGCAGCCGTTTGCAACCTATATGAGAGCACCGGCACTTCCGGCACAGCAGGGATCAGCTTTATCCTCAGGGTACTTTTAACGTTGCCCATCTACTGGATAGCCTGTAACTCGGCTGACAAAGGGGAAGTGGTTTCAGTGTGTTGCTCTGCAAATGCGTATTTTCTATGTTATGTATGGAGCTCCTCCCATTGATATGACTAGCTGGGTTATCTGTGGGGCTTTACTTGTTCTGAAGCCGCTATTGATTAAATGCTGAGATGGTTTTTTTTTAGAAGCTGTCATTGGAACATGCTTAGGCTGCATTTGCTGTCAGCTTAGCAGTCATGTTGCTGCATCTTCCTCTGAATTCCTCTCCCAGCTGGGCTCTTTCATTTCTTAGTGTTAAAATAGATTCTTCCTAATTAGACAGATCTCTGTCATGATAATCATCTTGAGAACGTATGCTGTATATTCATATTGCGTCTCTTTTCACAGATCAGGCCCATGCTTTGTAATTTTTCAGAATCGTAACTGGCTGAATAGATCCTTTACCAGGCAATCATCTCCTGTAACCCTCAATTAGTGCCCTGCCAACCCATACTGGCAGGCATCGGCGAGTGCACCATATATCCCTCGGCCCTTGGGAATGGATATAGTTCCCCAAACAGCAGATTTCGGCTGTAGTGTTTCAGGAGCCTCAGCGTTAGCATCCTTAAATAAAAGCGACCCAAAACCAAAGGGTGAAACCTCCCGGCTATTGCGCTATTTTACAATTGCCATTCAGCTTCCAGCACCGAGCTCCGGCTACCGCAAAACTTCGCAGTTCCGCTCGTCCGCCCTGAAGGCACGGCGCCGAGCCAGGAGCGGGACCCGGAGATCCCCGTGGGTCCCCGCCGCTCCGTGGGGTGCCGGTGCTCGGCGCACGGCGGGCTGCAGGGGGCACTGCGGGGAGCTCCGGAGCGGCGGGGCTGAGCTCCGCTACTCGGCCGCTGCCGGGGAGAGTTCCGGGGGGGAGAAGGGGAACGAGCCCGCGTGCCCCCGCCGGCCTCGCGAGGCGCTCATTGCCGATCGGTGTCAGTTGCCCGCTGGTAAGGATTTAGTCTGCTCGTGGCCGGGAGCTGTCGCAATAGGAACGCGATAAAAGCCAACTTGGAGGCTGCCGAGGAGACAAAGGCGGCTTTTTGCCGTTGTCGGGAGCTCGGAAGCCGTGCCCTGTGCCAGCGTGCCGCGGCACAAACGGGGACGGCGTAGGTCAGCTCCACGCCCGGTGCGTGAGTTCCCACTTCTCCCTGTTTCCAGCGGCGCGTTCCAGCACAGGGGTGTCCCCACGAGACGGGGCTCGGCTTCACGCCTCTGTTCAACAAGGAGTTGGCAAACACCGGCTGACACTTTAAACGCGAGAGCCGTGCGTGTGCCGAGCGCTCCAGCCGCTGCCGTCCGGTTGCGGGCGGCCCGGCATCGCTCCCCGCCGCATCTAACGCAGAAGTTCGGCGGGCTCGAGCCGCTCGCTTCTCGCCGTTCGTTATGCAGCGGTTTACGCCGGAGGGAAACGCGGCGTGCCCCCCCGCGGGGCCGCTGGCAACGCGGGCTCGGGGCCGCCGCTCCGGGCACGGCGGGGAGGGGGGCCGAGCGGGGCGGCAGGTGGCGGCCGTGCCGAGTCGCGCGGCGCCGGGGGGCCCGGCCGCGTCCGCTCCCGCTGGGCGGCGTCCGCGCCGGGTTTTGCACCTTGTCCCCGGGTCTGCCTCCCGGCCCGGGGAGCCGCGCCGAGCGCCGAGCGCTGCCGCCCTGTATCACTCCGCTGGCACGGA